CTTCCACACAAGGATCTTCACTGCATTACTGAAGGTAAGCTATGAGGAAGCAAGAAAATACTTTAAAACAATATGGTAATTCTAAAAGGCATCCTATTAAGCAGAGCTTCTGCCTGAAATGCTGAAGGCTTACTATTAGAGTTATGTGTAACCTCATTCCCTAACAACTTGTGGTTGTGCCCACTACCACCCTGGGTCAGAATTCAAAAGGTGCCCACAAACCCCTGTTTTAAAGCAAGGAAGTGGCTTAAAGGGGTTTCTGTACTTATTCTGGCAAATGTGAGCTGATCCAGCCTTTACCTCTTTCCAGGACAATGAATGGTACTGATTTTTTCTGTTTTGTTTTCAACTGAGTTCTCTTCAATAGTTCCAGAAATGGGACTCACTTTTAAGTCCCAAGCAATAGCATGAGACCCACTAAAGTGCAAGCATGTGACATCAGAAGAACATGACAAGAAACACAAGCCAGGCACTAGCACGTATACTGTATGAGGGAAAAGACAAGGTCAGAGCCATGGAGGAACCCACTGCCGAGTGGCTTTACTGTCCTGCTGCTCCTCACAAGATTCATGCAGGAGAAAGAAGTGTGGCTCCCTTGCTCTCTCTGCGTGCAACATGAGCAGCAAAATTTTCCAAAAAGCGGCAAAAATGTTTGCAGTTCTATGGGAGTCTATGGGAGATGGGACTCTGGGACTCCATGGACTGAAGATCATAACAAACAAGGCTCTGGGATAGTGTCTAAAAAGATAATACTAGGAACAACCATTGACCATTTTAAAACCATTTAAAAAACCATTTGCACTTGGTAGAGTTTATTCCCAAATAACCTCACAAGCGGATAGATATACCAAGAAAATGGACATCAGAAGAACTGTGCTAGATTAAATCAAGGGTCAGGCCTGTAGCTACAGTGGGGCCTTTGGGGCTCCGCCCCCTTTCTTAAAGGCACAGCCCTATAAGAATTTCTCCTGTAAAAGCTTTTTTCAATCATTTAAAACATTTTTAAAGGAGTGCGCTCTTTTAAGCAGGGTGGGGTGCTGTAGTTGACTAATTCCTGCACTGAGCAAGGGGGTTGGAGTAGGTGACCTCTAGGATCCCTTCTAACTTTGTGTCAAGAAACTAGTCTCCTTTATGAGAGTTTTTCTTCCTAAGTGTTAGCTTAGGCTTGTTATCAGAATTGTTGCTTAGGCTGGCAGAAGTTATTAACTTGCAACAGCTGAGAAGTGTCATCTAAAGTGTATCACGGCTTGCAATTTAGAGATCTATCCTGGTAACAGCTTTCTATTGGCTAAATGGTTTTTCTTTCTGCAGGGAACTTCAGCCCTACCAGAAAAAAATTGTCCCACAAGCCACAAAATCCTGGCTACAGGTCTGTCAAGAGTCCAGGTTTTGCAACATCTTGATTACAACAGTGGTCAGCCAGATGCCTCAGAGACATCCCCAAGCAGGGCACACCGGCAACAGCCCTTCTCTTTTTATGTTGCATGCAGAGGTATAGTGTCTCTGAGCAGATGTTATCATTCTTTGTCTTGCCTTCTGTACCTGGAGCTCAGAGAGAGGACAGAACATATCCGTACAACATCCCTGTGAAGGTAAGCTGAGAATAAGTAATCTATCCAAGGCCCCCCACTTGGGTCCAGCACTCTGTCCATTAATGCTGTAATAAAATGGGATGCACCTGAAAGAAATATCTAGATGCAGAAATAAAACTTGTCCAGATGTCAAATCAGAAAATGTAAAGGACACTGGAGATTTCATGTGAGAGACAGGGAGAAATTGGTAATTTATGCTTCTGTCCAAATAGATTGGTTGAACGAAATGGATTGACTTGAAAACTGACAGTGAAAATAAAAAATTAATTGTTTATTTTCCCTCCTTCATTCTTCCCCATCTGTGTTGTAGCACAGTGTGTCAGAGGAGTATGCATTATATGAGGAACTGCATTTTAACTTCAAATTGGAGGGATGGGTGAGCAGAAAGTAATGTTCTTTGTTCTGATACAGGTGTCAGATTAACAGGCAGGGGTATTTTTGTGGAGTGATGGAAATAATATTTCTACTACAGGAAATTGTCAGAAAAGTGTGGGGTGGTGGTGGAGGGGTTGAGTGGTAGCTGTTCCTCTTTGTACCTCAGCATTTCCCGGTGAGAGTGGAGTGGGACAGACTTATTTATTGAGGCAATCTCTATGCCAGGTCTCCAGAATACCTGTTTGAACCATCTGACAAAGGAAAACATAACAAAGGCATAAAGCAGTGTAAAAATCATTCAAAGTTATTACAAACCCAGTATTTAGGAACTGATTCTAAGCAGGTCACCTAAGAAATAAACCCCATTTTTATTCAATGGGGCTTACTACCAGGAAAGTGTTCACAGTGCAGGCCTAAGCAGAGTTACACCCTTGTAACCCCACTGACTCCAATGAACTCGGAAGGGTGAAACATTGCTTAGGAGGGCAGTGCCAGTTACCTCAGGGTTTTTGTTTTGTTTTGTTTTGTTATTCTTGGTCTCAAAACACGGTTGATAAGAGCAGCTGCCAGCTGGAGTCTTTCATTCAGCTCTGACCAACAGACCTCTAAGGTACCAGATGGTAGAAGGTAGTGAGGAGGAACCCCCCCACACACACACACAAAACTTGTAACTGATGAGTTTAAGCCTCTTGTTTTACAGTCTCAGCCTCACTTATACAGATTTCCTTTTCCGTAGCAGAACCACCAGGAATGGCAATAACGGAGCCTTTAGAATTCAGCTGCATCAGAGCATTTCTTCCATTTAAAGGGTGTGCCATTGGTTAATGAGGAAAACACAGATAGACGGCATGAGAAAGAGTTCTTTTCCTTGTTACACGCCCTGAGATTAAATTAAAGGATGGCGTTATACTCACAGTTGAGGAGCTGTTAAGTCGCAGAATCAGGCATTCTATAGCCTCTGAAATCAGTTGTTGTCTTGATCTCAGAAGCTAAGCAGGGCTGGCCCTGGTTAGTATTTGGGTGGGAGATCACCAAGGAATTCCAGGGTCACTATGGAGAGGAAGGTAACTGGCCCCCTACCTGCCTCGCCCTGACCTAGCCACAGTCATCCATGCAACGGTCACCTCTAGGCTTGATTACTGGAACTCGTTCTATGCAGGGCTGCCCTTGAGGCTGATCTGGACGTTACAACTTGTCCAGAATGCAGTGGCTTGGGTCCTTACGAGGACACCAATAACTGCATACATATGACCTGTGCTTTGCCAACTGCACTGGCTCCAAGCTGAGCACCAGGCCAGGTTCAAGGTTTTGATCTTGACCTAAAAGGCCCTAAATGGTCAGGGACCAATGTACCTATGGGACTGCCTCTCCTGGTATGTCCCCCAGAGAGCAGTACGCTCAAGAGACCAACACCTACAGGAAGTCCCTGGCCCAAAGAGCATCCAGCTGTCCTCAACCAGAGCCAGGGACTTCTCAGCCCTGGTTCCGCCTCGGTGGAAATCTCTGCCTGCTAACGTGAGGGCCCTGCAGGCTGCAAGGCAAAGATGTTCCACCAAGCATATGGTTGAGGATAGCAACGGGTTTTTAATGGTCTTTAATGGTTCTTAGCGGTTTTAACATCTAGCCATCTTTTAACTGCTTTTCACCCACTTCCCCCCATGCTGATGTAAATTGAGGGGAGGGCGGGGTATAAATGAGACAAATAAATAAATAAAAGCCCTGGCCAAGGCTAGATGGATGTCCCTCAGGCCGGGGACTACCAGCAGATGGTGATCTATCGAGCACAAGGCTCTCAGGGGCACATATGGGGAGAGGCGGTCCTGCAAGTATTTTTGTCCCTGGCTGCGCAAGGCTTTAAAGGTCAAAACCAGTACCTTGAACTGGATCCAGTACTCAATCGGTAGCTAGTGCAAACGGTGTAGCACCAGCTAGATGCATGCCCGCACAGGCGACACAGTCAGCAAACACACTGCCGCATTTTGCACCAGCCGGAGTTTCTAGATCAGCCGCAAGGGCAAGCCTGTGTAGAGCGAGTTACAATAATCAAGCCTGGAAGTGACCATTGCGTGGGACACTGTAGTCAAGTCCTTATTAGATTTCCATTACTGGTTTACATATACGAAAGCACAGAAACTCCCATGGACAAGAGTGACTTGTATTAAACTATGCCCGCTACCTTTGGGGCTTTACTGTAAGATGGAACAAGAAGTGTTCTGTCCCCATAACAGCACTGTTAAGAGCACACAATTGTTAACAATATTTTACACACCAAAGACTGCAGGGACATTTCATAAGAAAAACTAACACAGATTTATTGCATGCTGAAGACTAACAAGCAGGTTACCTTGTTAGATACACACACCAACTCTTGAAGGAGCCTAATAACCTGGAAAGGATTAAGTGAGATGGACAGCTAATTCCTACACAGTAGGGATTGTTTTCTGAAAAATTCACCATCCTTCTGCACCCAAGAGAAAGCCTTACAAGGTAAGAACAGGCAATGAGCTTGCTGCAGGCGGTTTTATAGCATTTTCGTTGCTCTGAAGCAACGACAGAAAGTCCTTGCCTGTCCTGTAAAAGGAGAGAGAACATAAGTAACAAGAAATGAGAACATTCCATGGAGCCTTTTAGTACCAGCCTGGACAGTATACAGTCACTGATTGAATGAATTCTATACTTCTCTTCCATTTCAAGTTCCCTTCCCTTGAGCATTCTGGTTGTTCTGGCAGGATGTAGGAAAACCCTCTGATTGACGAGGGGAGAGGAAAGAGTAGTGTAAAAGGATGGACTGGGAGGAAATTCCAGGACAAATTGAGTTTGACGATGTTCTGGGACTTCTGCATATAATCAATAACATGTATTTCCAATGTAGTTTTAAATGCATGCACAAAAAGAACACTTTCAATAAAATTAACTCAGACACTTTTGCGTATGCAAATTTTTGCTGAGACCTTGAGGTGTTTTGGACCCCAAATAAAGATACTGTGGTGTTCAGAGTAGATTCCTTTCAGTGGGAGTCTGTGATAACATAGACCAGTTTAGTACCAGTTTTATTGCCCAGTGTTCAGTTAAAGAGACACTTGTTTTTCCATGTAACTGAGCTCAGAGTAATCACCTAATTAAATAAAAACTAATACATTTGTTACAGCATCCTAAAACTTTTATCAGAAACATCTACTACAGCATAACCTTGAGCAGTTACAAAGAATGACAAGCTGAGTTGTTTGAATTATCTTCATTTGCACCATTAATGAGACATTTTTCTTCATCATTTGTTCAGCTCAGGCTGAACAGCTGGAAGACGATGCACAGTTTTCCAAGTACGAGACCATTTGGTTTACTGCTTCCCCAATGATAAAGCAAAAGTATCACATTCTAAATGAGTCGAGCCTGAAACTGCCATTTCAAATGTGGGTTTCTTCAACCAAAGGGAGGAAGACTTTTGCAAAGAGTCATCAAACAGCAGAGCTGGAATGAACCTTTGGAGAACAAGACACCTCTTGATTAATCTAGTGTAAGAACTAGGTGCAGTCTGTTCCACATGTTCCAAAATGTCATCCATGTCCCAAGTTTGCAGTCTTTATGGATTTCCTGGAACTGCCTCCAGTAATGGTGGGATAGCATAAGAAGCATTCGTTGCATGACTGAAAGCAGAATCAGAGAGAGCTCAAGAATACAAAAAGTAGTTTAGAAACAAAGTACAGAGATTCGCATTCAATCCACAAGTGCCCCTTCTGGCAGCTCTACTACTACTGGAGCACAATCCTCTGGTTCAGCCTCAAAGTCCCACTTGAATTTCTTTGTTAGGTGGGTCTTAAATCTTTCCGCCTTCTTCCTTAGGGTCCTGTCAACTGCTGGGCTGCAGGTATAAGAGAAGAACACCTAGAACATACAGCACAACAGTCAGAAGAACAGCATAACAAAAGAAGCATCGCCTGTGGGTGTCATTGGTTGGGGCTAAGCCAATGAGGATTCATCTGCATACAGAAGATCAAACATCTACTGGCAACTTTCTACCTAAGAGCCTTCTTTGCCGCAAAAATCAAAGCATACAATATCCACAGAACAGTTCATTGATAGTGCTGGGCCCAGTGTATAAAGAGAGGCTGCCTTCTAAGTCAGTCAAGATACCCATGCCCTGCATTGCCTATATTCAAATTAACAAAACTCCCTTAAATTACTATTACAGAATTAACCAGACTGTTCTTTTCCAGAACCTGAAAGCAGGGAGAAAGTCAGGCAAGAGGGTGATAGGAATAAAGATACATAAAAGATACATGCAAAACAAACGAACAAAGAAGAAAATGCTAGAAGTTCAAAACCAGCCTAATATCAGCACCGCCCTGATACGCAACCTATCCTATCCACAATGAGCCTGAAAGTCTCCATAGTTCTGATCCGACATAAAGAAGAAACTGAGCCAACCCCACAAGCTTGTCCTCAAGAATCTCTTTTGGATACATACAAGGCTTGGAATAGCTGTGAAAAAATCAAAAGCTCAAACAATGCCCATTATAGCAATTACAACAGATGCCTTCTTTCATTTCATGAAGAAATTAACACTCTTGCTTAAGAAACCCTCACCAATTATATGCAGTTTAAGGGGGGGAAAACCCGTTCTGATATATCTGCACGCATTTGCACATGAATAAAATAGTTCTGTAGGAAAAAGCAATGTTAGCAGACAATGGATTGGATGGATCCCAGCTAGCATGTGCAAGGACTTCTGTTTGGGGAGACTCCTGTGGGAGTGGAAGAACTGCATTCCATGAGCAGAAGCCGCTGCACTTGTGGAAACACGCGTCAGGATCCAAGCCAGCACATGCACATATTGCAGCACGTACTCTTAACAATCTCTCACTTATGACAGAAGAGGAATGCCAAGATGGCATCTGCCACCCTTTGTAAGCATTTTACAAACTTTACAGTAAGAAAATGAGCTTCCTAATTAAATACAGGCACCTTTTTAATCTGTCAGAAGGTTAAGAGATTAGTCGATTTAAACACTGCAGCAGAAGAGATCATCTTTCTTGGAAAGAGACTTTCAGACTCTCACTGACATGATCTTAGTCAGCTTTTCACAAATTAGTGGTTTGCTTCTGGCACTTTTGGACCACCACAAACGTGCTTCATTTGATCTCCAATCTCATGTCTTCTACTATAATGCTTAATTGGTTAATGTAATTCAGTTCTGAGGCAAAAAGGCTGATGGCTCAGAGCAGACATCTGCACTGCAGGATGAAATTGAAAACTCATAAGGGACAAGGAAAGTGTGTGTGTATAAATAAAAGGCTCTACAGACACAGCAGCTGAACACACTAAAAGTTAATGGCACGGTTCATTGCCTTGTGCATGATGGATCATTTTTCCTCCTGGTTTATCATATTGTGAAATCAACTTTTAAAAACTACTACTGCTAAAATCATTCTTTTATGGAGGGATCCTGGCATTGGAAAGCAGAGGAAATAAAAAATTATGAGTTTCACTTCATCAATAATATTAAATGTCAAAGCTAATATGGGTTAAAGCCCAGTTGCTGGCATTCTAAATCAGCTCGCTTTTTAAAAATATAATTAGGCTATGATCATGCTGTCTGCTATGTACAGGTTTCATCTGTAAATGGAGAATTTGTCATCAGACGAAATATGACAGCACAGTCTTAAGAATCTGTTTTTATTTTTGTTTTGTTTTTTAAAAAACCCACACAAATACATTCAAAGTTCCCAGCCCTTATGGCAGTGGGGCTATGTTTACAAACAAGCCAACACCATCTATGAAGACTTCCAGGCTTCAGTATTCAAAGGGAGAAGTGTTTATGCACTATTTGATGTGGTCATCCATCGTTAGCTCAAGTCATTCTGCCCTGTCCACTGTACAGTGTACTGCTTAAGCATCTCCTTCCCATGCTAACCCACAACTCCGGAGACCTTACACAAAACATAAATCTGTGTCACCTATAATAGTCACACCTAATGTGCTTAAAGCACGCTTGGTCTTGTTTTAATGGAACTATCAACATTAAAACGTTTACAGTTTGGAAAAAATGATGTAAATTTGCAAATGTGTGCCTCAACTTTGTAGGAGCATTACTTTCTTTGGCCAGAATTTAGTTTTGTGGGGTGCAAACTACTTCAAGCCCAGCAGCATCTGAAATAAGGGCTTGGATCCAAATGGATGCTTTTCATTGGCATAACGTCTGTAGCAGCAATTGCCTCGCAGAGAAGCATAGAGCTAAGCAAACCTCACTGAATTCCTTGCCAGTGCTAGGGGCTCCAATCAGATGGGGCAAGTTGCAATTAAACTGTGTTGGGACATAAGCAGATATCGCTTCGTGCAAGTGTGGAGCTTAATAAAAAAACTTCCTAGTTTGACCAAGGTCCATTTTGTAGTTACTGCTGAATGCAGGTGCTCAGAGCATGAGCACGGAAAGGATCTTTGTTCAGACCCTGATGTGGTATAATTGGAACTGGGGAACTGACAGAACGCTGATAAGGCCCATTTCTTTCCCATTGGGGATCCAACCCTACACACCTACAGCTGAGCTAAATATCCAGGGGCTTACAGCAAGAGCCAGAAGATGATCTGGTTCCTGTTCATACAGGGCCATAGGAGAGTGAATGGCTGTAACCCGGCTCCGGCTGGCAAGGGAGAACACACGTCTTGCAAAGCAGCCATTTATTCCCTGCCACTTTTCCAAGTGCAATTGCGCTTTTAACAGGCACCTCTGAGCACCAGGGAGCCCGACACACAGGCCAAGCTTATGTGATAAGAAGGAAATGGAGCCAATATTTCAGCAGAACGAAGAGATGGAAAATGATCCAGCAGGGAGCCATTCAGTGAGGATGTTGTTCTAAACACTCAAACAGATATCAGCAAGCACTAAGAGTCCGTGTTAAAAGACTCAAATTGATTCCAATGTTAAAGCCCTGGGAGTGCTCCAGAAGTCATGCCTGGGTCTAAAAATCATACAACAAGCAGAGTTTATATGGTATAACACCCACCAAGGAGGAAAAAACAAGAAGTTGCACTGGATGAGTGGGAACAATGTGTGCAAGAAATATAAGAGCAGCAGAACACACTTGTACTTTGCGTGTGAGAAGCCTTCCTATGCGGCAATATTACTATATTCCATCTGCACCCTGCCTTTCCCCTAAGACCGTCACAACAGTGTATGTGGAATTTTATCTGTTGAACACAACCCAGAGTGGCAGGTCAGGCTCAGAAAGAGTGACTGGGCCAAGGCTTCAGGGCTGTGCAAGGATCAGAGCCAGGGCTCTGGGGCACTACAATACCCGGTTCAGATACACCACCCTGTCTATGTTGTAAGCACAGAAAATGTATTTGGGGGACATTCCCCTGCTCTTTCCTGAATTTTAAATGACTTAAAACTCTTGTTTTCTGACTCTCCCTTCCAGCATCGGCTCCTGTTCTTAGGAGAAGTGGCTGAGATACTGAAACAGACCTTCTGCAGGGTTAAGTTCTTATGAGGTCTTCACGATAAACAGATACATGCACTGCTAATGGGTTGCCTGAGCATTATCAACTGCCACCTGCTGTTGACAACTCTTGCTTATGACTGTCATAAAGCAGCTAAGAGATGCCTCCCTCCAGCTGTCTGATATATTTTTTTCAACTTTCTATTCAGCTTCAATGATGGCACGAGGCAATCTATTATTACAGCACGGCCAAACTGAATTTCAATTTGCTGATGAGACTGTTGTAGCCGTGTCAGGCCTACAAGAACTACGACCACAGGGAGCTAAATTCCACGGCTGGTGTCTGAAGGGCCATGCTTGATCTTTAACACAGAGGTTTTCACTGCTATTTCCTGCAGCAGGAGCACCCCCCCCCCCAAGCTGATATTTAAGGCACAACGATTCTTTGGTGTGACTTTCCATGAGGCTGATGCTGGGAGGGGAAGTCAGAAATCATTCTGTGCAGGCACAGTGTGGTCATCTTTACCCAGATTAATTAAGAGTTACATGCTTTGAAATGTCACAAGGGTCTTCTTCACAAACAAAGGCAGCACACTGACTACGCATTAACTCATTCCTTCTTGCTTCACTTTATCGCTGCTCTGATAACCACTGTCCCGTTAAGGACGCTGGTTGAATAGGAATTGCTCACAGGACAAATCAGAAATGCAAAGGTATAAGTGAGCTGCCTTTGGGAGGCTGTGGAACCTTCTTCCTTGGGGGTTCTCAAGCCAAGGTGAGACTGGCATGTGGCAAGGATGCCTTAAGTGTGGGGCATTATTTACTGGATTTCAATACCCCCCCCTTCCCCACAGCATGTTCCAGAGTAACTGACAAAAATCACCACTGCCCAGGCAACTGCTGCAAATCAATATGAAAGAAATGTAACAAACAAGGAGAACAATCAATACATAAAATGATTTCACATAGACTGTTGGTGATTGAGGAGTGCCCCCTCCCTTACAGCTGTCACACAACGCTCTATAGCATCGGCAGGGATGGAAAATGAAAGGGTAGATTTGACCCGTACTTGTCAGCTCCTGTGCAGAGCTCCTGCCATCCCTACAGTTCAATTCTACAAAAAACAAGGATAATTGTTTTGGTTATTTGTTTCATGTCTTTCAGTGTGATGCTGCACAGGCACACGTCTAAGCTCTTCAGCAGTGAAGTAATAAATAAGGCTTACAAGCTATTTCTAAATGAGCTGCTCCTTAGAATAACGATTTGCCAGTTTTCTGCAAGGCAGCATTCCCTGCTTTAAAGCACAGACCTCTATGAAGCTAGAACATGGGGTTAATATGCAAACTAAAGCCACTGTCACCTTGTGAGTTCCCCACTAGTCAATAGCATTGCTACAGAAAAACACATAATGTAATGGCATCCATTCACACATTTACTATTTCTTTAATGCATTTAAATCTTCTACTTCCTACATTTACCTCGAGGTGGCTTTGGATTCAAAAGTGTTCTAATTAATAATCAATTTAAACAATCAAACAAAAAAACAGTCTGAACAGTTATAAAAACTAGCACAACAGCCCCCTAATAAGCTCTGCAAGGGTAGCATAAAAAAATCAAGAGAAGGACTGTGGAAAAATAGGAATGTTTTCACTTGGTGCCTAAAGCTTACTAGATTTAGCCCTCAGTGAATTGTTGTGGGGAGGGAATTCCACAACTGAGGCACCACAAGAAGACAAGGGTCTGTTCCTGGCACATGGCCATCTCACTTGTGAAGGTGAGGGTATACAGAGCAGTGCCTGAGAAACTGAGACACAGGCTTGCATTTCCTTAATGACACATCACAGGAAAAGAAGGGAAACCAGGATACGGAGTTACTGTTTCTGGAGGCAACACCATGATTAACTTCACATCAGCTCTGAGACAAAACCAAGCAAGCAAACAAAACAACCCTCTCATTTTCAGTTTGTGTTTTCTTAATTTTGATCTTCCGTTATGCACATCCATACAGTTCTTGTGAACATTTCCCACATTGCTATTTCCCAGCACGAAGAACTACTGAAAGCAGCATCCTTACCTGTAAGGTGCTGGTTAAGAAGTTGTCTTGGGAGACTATATCCACAAAGAAGTCTGCTGGGATTTCACTGAGCTGATGGTAAAGGATAGAAATGAGGTTGCTGAACAGGGAGTGATGCTTTGCTATGGCATTCTCAGACCGGCACAAGAGATTCAGGAGTTTTTTCCAGTGCTCAAATGAATCATACACGTTCCCAATTAGGAAGCAGACAAAGGCGAATTGCAACTCCCCTGCAAAGGTCCGACCAAAGGAAATTTAAGAAAAACACAAGAGAACACAGAAAGGTCTTTAGTTTCAGCATGATGGTGTAAAGAAAGGGCACACAAAGAATCAAAAATAAGCTGCACCATATGGACAGTCAATTCAGGGAATTTTACCAGTGCATCTTGATTGAACTCTTCTCTAACACCTCCTTTAAGAGTCTCCTCATCATCATCTTCCAATTTTCCCAGTTCTCCCACATTAGTATCCAGAATTGTAAACGTATTTGAAACAGGAACACTAAATATTGTAAAGCTCCCAGGAACAAAAAAAGGTCTGCTATTTTCATCTGCTTACTGCAAAGCAGAGTAAATATCTCCTCCTCCTCTTTTACATGCCAGCATTGCCGACTCCCATTTTACAAGGGGCAGTAAATTACTCAAGACAGCAGACTATAGGTTTCTCTTCTAAATTCACAATAGTGCTTGCTAATGAAGCCAGTTCTTAAAAAGACTGTGAGAGGAAAGTTCACTCCCAACTTCCAATCACTTTAAACTTAAACAGCTAAAGGCAGAGACAGCCAGAGAGCTTACCGTATGAAACTATGTGTAGGAGTCCTCCTCTCAGGCAAAAGAAAACAACAAATAAAACAGCCGTCCTTTCAGACAACAGCAGCTCTTAACTGGCTAAGGATATAACTCTCTGACATTCAATTTCTCCATGCTGCCAAAGAGCAGATAAAACCCATGAATGGTAATAAATGTGCAGCTGTCATTTTAGTAGACACCCGTTCATGTCCTTTCGTGGTTTCAACATAAACCTCTAAGCAGCAGGGACAAGCTGTGTGCTGAGGGGCATCTCCTCACACATACCACAGTGAAGACAGTTTCCAGAGTGCTGCTCTGCAGTAAAATAGCTAGATTTGAGACCAATAGCACCTTACAGACCAGCAAGGTTTTCAGGGGGAAAGATTTCAAGAGCATCTGACCAAGGAAACTTTGACTCTCAAGCGCTTACACCCCGCAAATCTTGCTGGTCTCTGAGGTGCTGTCAGCTGTGTTGCCACAGTGAGTAGATTTGTGAATACCTTCAGGTCACGCAAGGAAGCCAGCAAAGATGGTGGCTTATTCTGCAAGAAAATGCAAGAAAATCTGAAAATACTTAACATAAGAATATAAGAGATGCCAATGTTGGATCAGGCCAAAGGCCCATCCAGTCTTACACTCTGTGTCACACAGTGGCCAGAAATACCAGTGCCATCAGGAGGTCCACCAGTGGGGCCAGGACACTAGAGGTCCTCCCACTGTTGACCCCCCCCCCAAGCACCAAGATAGAGCATTACTTGCCCCAGAGTCCCTATCTATACCTTGTGGCTAATAGCCACTGATGGACCTCTGCTCCATATGCTTATCTAATTCCCTTTTGAAGCTGTCCATGCTTGTAGCCACCACCACTTCCTGTGGCAGTGAATTCCAAGTGTTAATCACTCTTTGGGTAAAGAAGTACTTCCTTTTTTCCGTTCTAACCCGACCGCTCAGCAATTTCATGGAGTGCCCACGAGTTCTTGTATTGTGAGAAAGGGAGAAAAGTACCTCTTTCTCTACCTGCTCTTTCCCATGCATAATCTTATAAACCTCTACCATGTCACCACTCAGTCGTCGTTTCTCCAAGCTAAAGAGCCCTAAGCGCCTTAACCTTTCCTCATAGGGAAAGTGTTCCAACCCTTTTATCATTCGAGTTGCCCTTTTCTGCACTTCTAGAACCAATTAAGCGGCTTCTACATCATCACAGGACTTTAGTGCCAAGTGTTCGCCTTCTGTGTATATAGCAGAAACAAAAGGATTTCATAGACATTACTAATCTCCCTGTTTCTAATCTCAACAATTATGTCAGCCCAACTTGCTCTCACAGTTCTCACCCCATGACACTTAAAGGATGTTATTCAAGGACATATTCCCCAGAGCAGAGGCATTCAGATGTACTGATGACTTTCCCCCTGTGTCCAGTGGTCTGGCCAGATAATTAAGGCACCACAAGCAAGGGATGCCAGCTCGTGGTCTTTTTGCACATCATTACATTCATGTAGTTTATCAAAGTAGTATCAAGGCTCTACCACAAGAGGTCACCAACACTGCACTTCAAAAAGTTCTGGCTTCCTAAATTCCCTCATTTTCTTGCGGTTGAAACATAGTTGTCAAATGGGAACACAGAAAAACAGCCACCCTGTTTTAGGGTATTTTACTATGAACTGCCCCGTTTATGGACTTGGTAGGCTATTAGTTTTCCCAGCTTCCCTTGGTCCCTTTCCAAACAATAAGGAACGGTCGGCACACTTTGCTCCATTCCCACCTCACCTCACAACAGTTAAAGAGTAATGTCTGATTTGTTACAGTAAAGGGCTGCATCTGCATTTGTGGGGGGTCGGTGAACCAGAACATACAAGTGTATATCAGAGAACAGACACAAGCACAAAGCCAGGGTGGGGGAGGTGTCTGCAAGAGATTGTGCTGCTGTGTGTTCCTCTGAAACAGATATATGCATTCAGACATGATGATTCTGTTAGACAAGTAAAAACACCAGTAGTGCAATACTTTTTTATTAGGACCAACCAAAATGTCAAAAATTAGCAAGCAAGCTGTACAGTTGCCCAGAACAGAGACGCTTTTCCATAATATCTAACACCTTTTTCTCCATAATCCCACACACACACTTTCAGCATGCATCCTATCGAAGGCTTCTGAGGAATTCAAAAGCTTGCTCACTAATTTGTAAAAGATCAGTTGGTTCTAATAAAGAAAAAAAAGAGTACTATATAAAAGACACTACTTGTTTTGTTCCAACGCCTACTGAGAAGTGCCAGCATTTACTTTGGAGCAACATGAATGACAAAGGAGAGCAGTTGTACTCACCAAGCACATCCTGGGGATTGCTGGAATAGTGTTTGCTGATCACAGTCTCCAAGGCATAGCTAAGGTCCATGCTGTGCCTGGTAACTTCCTCAGGGGTAGCGCCTTGAGGGTACATTTGCTTAGGGATTTCTGTGAACCTGATCTCCGTGCCAGCTTTCACCTGCATTTTGGGAAGCCTGGCCAGGCCTTCAGCATAGCTTTTGCACTCTGTGTCATACCGGGGCAAGTTCTGTTCGACCCGATCTTTAGTATACTTCCCAGCCAAAACAGGCAGCACCTCTGAAAAGGCACATATCTGCCTGCTTTCTGGCTGCAGCTTTTGCATAACTGGTTCATTAATGAAATTAGTGAGAGAGATCCATTTCTTCAGAGTGTCATATGGGTAGGGACCCATAAACTTGTCCATTTCCTGCAAGTTGGCCCTCATGGCTTCAGTCTCGTTTTCAGGTGCCGGAGTCAGATCCACTTCCTCTTTGACAGGGTCCCAGCGCAACACCTCCAGATCTCGCTGCCGCAAGTTCAAGAAGAAGCCCGTGCGAGGACCACTTTCTTTGCTATTGTCCTTACTGACAGAGCTGTAATGAAGGAAATGGATGCCTGGGGGGATCATCTTGACTCCCCGGAACTTGGGGCCCACTTGCCAAGTGTTATAGTCAATACCAAACTCTGTTCCTTCTGGCACATTCAAAATGATAACTGTGGCCCCCTCAAAAAAGAGCTGCTGAGCCAGGTCTTGGTCTATCTGCAGTTCTGCCATCTTGTCCACTCCCTTGGTTACGTCACAGCTTCTCAATGGAAATCTAGCAACAGGCAAACCAATAACATTTGACTATCATTTACTAGCATAAGATATGATACAAGCAATGCCACTGTGCAAGGGAAGCTGGTCAAGTAAGTTGCAAGGACACATGACTCAAACCTCTTGGAGAAATATACTTGCCACTGACCAGTTCTCACCCAGAGTCCAAAGTGCTCAGCGTCTGAGAAAAATTTACCTTTGCAAAGTCCCAGATGGATCTACGATGGCAAAGCTTTCTTAAGAGTGGAAGCTTTCAAACTGATATCGCTAAGGGATTTATCAGGGAAATCAGGAGTACCTAGAAACAACAACGGACCCTGAACTTTTGCACTAACAAAACATTTATACAGCACCCACAGTATGCTTGGCATTGTACATTACAGGCACAAGCAGCAGTAAGGGGGGGAAACATGAGATGAACTCTGCTAATGATATAAGCAATTTATCTATCTAGAAAAGGCATCAGCTGCCTCTCCAGAGACCTTCCCGAGCTGCCTTATTTCTAACAAATAAGTTAATTGGGAATCTACCTAGAAATTGCAGGAAAGTGGAATACCATGTAGCATATATGCATTTGGTATAATGCCTCCAAGTGGCAAGAAACAGGAAATGATAGCAATAGTCAGAACTTTCAGAATTTGAAGGCAAACAACAGAAGAGAATTAAAAACATGAAAATAACAAGGAATGTATAGGGGATATCCTCAGAAACCTAAATGGGCCCACTTTCACCAAAACAGACTTGTCTCTTTTCTCACCCTGTTAACACACAATGTATACAACTACTTACAGAGGTTTGCCAATGTCCTTCCAGACAGAAGATCCATACCTTTTCAAAAGAGCAGATCACAGAAACTCAAAGGAAAGCCCATGACTCTGTGGTAGAACATATACAGGAGGGGGCTGTGGCTCAGAGCATCTGCTTGGCATGCAGAAAGTCCCAGGTTCAATCCCTGGCATCTCCAGTTAAAAGGACCAGGCAGTTGATGATGTGAAACAGGGGTGGCCAAACTGTGGCTTGGGAGCTGCACATATTGTACAGCTCCCGGCAGGCTCTCCATCTATTTGCTTTCTCTCTCTCTCTTCCTTTCTTCCTCCCCCATCTATTTGCTTTCTTTATCTCTCTTTCCACCTTTTTCATTCTTTCTTTCCACCTCTCTCTCTCTCTCTCTTAGACAAATAAATATTATTAGCAAACAAATAAATATCATTGGACAAAAATATCATTGGACAAATAAATATCATTATCAATATCTGTTTTTACCCCTTTTGTTTTTATTTTTGGCACTCATTTAATGTTGATAAAAAGCAAATTTGCATATTTTCCCAAAAAAGGTGTGCAATATTTGTTCATGTCTTGCGGCTCTCAAACATCTGACGTTTATTCTGTGTGGCTCTTACATTAAGCAAGTTTGGCCACCCCGATGTGAAAGATCCCTGCCTGAGACCCTGGAGAGCCGCTTTCAGTCTGAGTAGACAATACTGACCTTGATGGACCAATGGTCTGATTCAGTGTAAGGCAGCTTCATATGTGTTCATACTTTGCATCTTGAATGTCACCTATGCAACCACCAGGTACAGAATTTCAGGCAGAGCTAGGGTAGCAGAAATCGTGGAAAGGCACTGCCAGTCGTAACAGGCAGTGTTGGGATAGGACAGGCCACTGATCTGACTCAGTAAAAGGCAGCTTCACATATAAAATCTTCTCTTTCTAATTCCTCTTTACTTATGCAACCACAGAAGCTGTAGATACTTTTATCATGAAACAAGAAGCAAGGCCCAAAGTCCCAAGCAGCTTTAAGCAGCCTGTATAGGCTTGCACCCTTCCTGTATACAGGGCTAAAGAGCAAGTGGGCTGCTAAAGCCACAACATTGTTGTTATACTTATTAATACAGAACACTAATACACTCAACACCCTATGGAATTTTAGGCAAAATCAGACCAGGCTATGTCCCCAGTCAAAAGCAAACATGAAATCAACACAAGAGAGTGGCAAAGTGGGCTAATCCAGCTCACATATAGTCAAAACTTGTGGTATTTATAGCTTGTTCTTATATCCCAGAGCAAGTCTCTGGAAAAAGAACAATGGAAGGGTTAGCGGGACGTCCCCTCCCCCCTTTTTTCCCTTTACAGAGCTTCCACAGCTTTTAACACTTTCGTGATAAGTAGAAATTCAACACGTTAAGCCCTCCCCCCCGCCATTACTGACCTTCCACGTGGTGGAAGCGGCGCCTATTGGATTTCTACTAGTGCCTGCAATTGGCAAAGCATCACGAGGAGCCTCCAAAGTCCTGAACAAAGTCCTCGATTATTCTCTGATGGCAAAAGGGACACAATTTCTACACACCCGTGAAAGACACAACAGGATCCTCTCTTGAAATTGAAGAGGAGCAACCATAAGTATCAGTCATTCAGGACAAGAGGTGAGAAGCCAGCCTATCAGAGGATTCATCCCTTACGCAACCGCAGGGAGGAGAGTTTACAGCGGAGCTCAGCAGCCGACGCTGCCAGGCACGGTACAGCTCCCGCACCACGACAACTCGGCATCCGTACAACCCACCCCAGGAGAAAAGTCTCCGCACGCAGCAAGGCTCCGGGAAAGCTCCAGGAAGTGAATTCACAGCCACTTCCGGTAGGGAGACGCAAACGAAAAACTAGGTTCTCCAACCATAGAGAGATACAAGAGAAGGCCGATTGTCCCTGTGAGAAAATAGTCCGAGTAGGTCCCGCGGCCGCGTGTTGAAGCGTTCCTCTCTCAGTACTAGATTTGTGAGCGAACGTAAATCCTCCCAAAAGGCGTAGGTTTTGAGGGTGTTTATTATTATTAATAAAATAGCTGTATTTATAAGAGAAAGAGTACTTTTACATATATACAGAGGGCCATGCTCTCCCCATAGGGATACACTCAGTATACACACTTCTAGATCTAGATCAGGCTTCTTTGGGAAAAGGCAGGGCATGCACCTTCCTTAATTTTAAGCCATGCCAGGTTATACGATATGGCCAAAGGGAAGTTGTGTTGAAGACTAACTGATTTTTTTAAAAAACAAAAATCTACAAATACTAGATATAGGACTGTTGCTGGTTCTTGCTAATAACGCAGTCCAAATAATAATTACTTGAAAATAGATCAAGATGGGTAGCCGTGTTAGTCTGTCTGTAGCAGTAGAAAGGAGCTGCAGTGGCTCAAGTGGTTAAGACGCTGAACTGCAGGCTATGGAAGGTCGTTCAGCAGTTCAAGACCCGGGTACCACATGACAGAGTGAGCTCTCGTCTCTAGTTCCAGCTCCTGACAACCTAGCAGTTCGAAAGCAAGAAATTGCAAGTAGATAAATAGGTACCACTTTGGTGGGAAGGTAACAGCGTTCCATGCACCTTGGTGTTAGTCATGCCAGCCACATGACCTCGGAAACGTCTTCGGACAGCGCTGGCTCTTTGGCTTTGAAACGGAGATGAGCACCGCAACCCTAGAGTCAGATTCGACTGGCTTTCGAGCAAGGGAACCTTTACCTTTTAGCAGTAGAAAAGAGCAAGAGCCCAGTAGCACCTTAAAGACTTAACAAAATATGTGGCAGAGTATGAGCTTTTATGAGTCACTGCTCATACCTTATCACATATTTTGTTAGTCTTTAAATTACTGGAAAGTAAGGCACAATCCTAACAGGACTTCAGTGCACAGGGTTCCAGCCTCCAGGTGGGGCCTGGACTGGAGATCTAGTTACAACTGATCTCCAGACTACAGAGATCAGTTCCTCTAGAGAAACAGCTGCTTTGGAGGGTAGATTCTATGGCATTACACCTCACTAAAGTTCTTCCTCCCCCCAAATCCCCTCTTCCCCAGGCTCCACCCCCAAATCTCCAGGAATTTCCTAACCTGGTTTTGGGAACCCTTCTTCAAAAGCTGGCTGAAAACTTGCCAAAACGACCTTTTTGAATTAGATTAAATGAAGGGATTTATGTTGCCTGAATCTGTTTTATTAATCTGTGGGTTGTTTAGTACTTTAAATTGTTGTGGGTATTTTATCACTGCTTTGGACACCTTCAGGGTCTGACTGCGAGGGTGGAAAAGTGTTGCCTAAATGCGCTAAATAAACAAAAGAATGCAGCAAACGTAGTATGCACACCTATTTGTAAGGCCCATTATGTTCAGTAAATCAAGATCCGGCTCTTGTTTCCTGTGCACCTTAGTGAAGCCCTGCTTTCTCCTCAAGCACAGATTTTGTTCTAGTCTCTGTTTTTTGCTGTCTCCCCAGTTCTCAGCCAAATTGCTACAAGAAGCGATTTATGCAAGACTCCTGAAGATTCAGTGCCTGAGTTTCTTTTCTCTCACCCGCCCCTGCCCCCATCCAGATCCCTTTCCCTTTTTACAAACAAGGGGCAATATCTCCCACAAGCCAGAAGTCTGTGACAAAAACATTTTTAGGGTAATAACCTCAGAAATGGAATTTACACAAAACGAGTGGATGAGAGTTAACACTACAGTTGCCAATATCCAGGTCGGGCCTGGCAATGTCTTGGATGTACAACAGATCTCCAGACGACAAGGATCAGTTCTTCTCAAGAAAATGGCTGCTTTGGGGGGTGGACTCTATGGCATCATAACCCGCTGAGGTCCCTCCCCTCCTCACACCCCCACCCTCTCCAGGCTCCATCCTTGCTCAAACAATACAATGATTAGAGGAACATATAATAAAGTAACATGTTCTGACTTTCAAGGCCTCTCTGTCGTTCAATCACTTACAGTTTTGTTGGGAATTCAGGTTCAGAAATCCAAGTATCTCTTATCAACTTTCTGTCCAGTTCAATCCTTGGAAGATCCTGGCTCTGTTCCTCTGGCATAGAAACTGAAGCTATCTAACCTGGGACATCTCAACCAGCTAGGGTTGCCAGCTCCGGGTTGGGAAATACCTGGAGATTTTGGGGATGGAGCCTGGGGAGGGTGGGGTTTGGGGCATAATGTCAGAGTCCAAAAGCGTCCATTTTCTCCAGATGAACTGTTGTGTGGAGATCAGTTGTAATAGTTGTAATCCCCATGCCCAGCTGACAGGTACACCTTCAAGCTATGGCTTTGCAGGTGGAGTGGCAATGAGGTATTCTTCTCTGAGAGGAAGAATAGATGCAATTCAGACTGCAAGAAGATCACGTTTTGGAATGCTCTAAAACAGGGGTGTTGAACTCAGTTCTTATGAGGGTCAGATTTGACATAAATGAGACCTTGTTGAGCCGGGCCATGTGTGTCATAAAATGTAATGCCAGGTAGTGGAGATAAAATTTTATAAAGGATACAAAGGGTTTTTTTTACTTTAAAACATGTTTAAAACATTAGCAGTCTTGCAATATTTTGTTTATTTAACAGTGTATGATAACGGACACCTTTTGCTCTGAATTATTGTATCAAAATGTCTGTGCTGTTGCAATCTTGAGTATGCTGTTTAGGTGTGTATCTGTAAGCTGCAAACCTACAATGACGCAGCAGCAGCAGAACTGGAAGAAGAAGCAGAAGACAGCCAGTTCCACTGCGGGCCCATGTTTGACACCCCTGCTCTAAAACCTCCCTGCAAATAGGAAAGAAGCAAGGAGTGGAGTGTAAAACCTTTCTCCCCATTATACTAGTTTAATGCTTGTGTTGATTTTTTAATGCAAAGGATCATTCAGAACTGAAATCTCCTACATGTAATCTGAACCAAAATAGTCCATTCTAACACCTAATTGCCACCTCAGTCTCTTTCATTAGTGAACACAGTCTTAAGTCAGAGGAGCAAGTGGAGTTCTAAGAAGGTGAATGTCAATGTGCTTCAAAGACACACATCACACACAAACACACATTTTAGATAAGAGGACCAAACATACTGTAATAAGAACATAAGAGAAGCCAATGTTGGATCAGGCCAATGGCCCATCCAGTCCAACACTCTGTCACACAGTGGCCAAAAATACCAGGTGCCATCAGGTGGTCCAGCAGTAGAGTCCACTGTCCCCCCCCCCAAGCACCAAGAATACAGAGCATCACTTACTCCAGCCTGAGAGTTCCTATCTATACCTTGTGGCTAACAGCCACTGATGGACCACTGCTCCATATGTTTATCTAATTCCTTCTTGAAGCTGTCCATGCTTGTAGCCGCCGCCACCTCCTGTGGCAGTGAATTCCATGTGTTAATCACTCTTTGGGTGAAAAAGTACTTCCTTTTATCTGTTCTAACCCCACTGCTCAGCAATTTCATTGAGTGCCCACGAGTTCTTGTATCGTGAGAAAAGGAGAAAAGGACTTCTTTCTCAACCTGCTCTATCTCATGCATAATCTTATAAAGCTCTATCATGTCACCCCTCAGCCGTCATTTCTCCAAGCTAAAGAGCCCCAAGCGTTTTAACCTTTCTTCATAGGGAAAGTGTTACAACCCTTTTATCATTCTTGTTGCCCTTTTCTGCATTTTTCCAATGCTATAATATCCTTTTTAAGGTGTGGGGACCAGAACTGTACACAGTACTTCAAATGAGGTCACACCATTGATTTATACAGGGGCATTATGATACTGGCTGATTTGTTTTCAATTCCCTTCCTAATAATCCCCAGCATAGCGTTGCCCTTTTTTATTGCAGTCGCACACTGTCTTGACATTTTCAGTGAGTTATCTACTATGACTCCAAGATCTCTCTCTTGGTCAGTCTCTGCCAGTTCGGACCCCATCAACGTATATTTATAGTTTGGATTTTTGGCTCCAATGTGCATCACCTTGCACGGCCACATTAAACCCCATTTGCCACGTTTACACCCACTTGCCCATCCTCAACAGATCCCTTTGGAGTGCCTCACAATCCTCCCTGGTTCTCACCACCCTGAACAACTTCATGTCATCTGCAAATTTAGCCACTTCACTGCTCATTCCCAACTCCAAATCATTAATAAACAAGTTAAAAAGCATCGGACGGAGTACTGATCCCTGTGGTATCCCACTGCTTACCACCCTCCACTGAGGAAAGTGCCCATTTACACTCACTCTTTGTTTCCTGTTAATTAGCCAGGTTTAAATCCACAAAAGGACTTGTCCTTTTATCTCGTGACTATCAAATCAAACTTAGGAGCCTTTGATGAGGAACTCTATCAAAAGCTTTCTGAAAGTCAAGGTAAACAACACCTATTGGGTCCCCCTTGTCCCCATGTTTGTTCATTCCTTCAAAGAACACTAACAGGTTACTGAGTCAAGATCTTCCCTTACAAAACCCATGCTGAGTCTTCCTCAATAGTTTCTGTCCATCAATGTGCCTACTAATTCTTTTCTTAATAACAGTTTCCACCAACTTACCCAGTATCGACATCAGACTGAGGTGCTGAAACCTGTTCTCTTCAAGACACAACCCTTTTTCTTTCATCAGTAAGAATAAAAATTTACTCATTCCTCCACAAGGGAATTATGTACAATCCCCTCCCAATTGTTTTCATCTCCTGAGACAAGACCTAAGATGGTTTCCTAGATGTAAGCCCCACTGAACATACCTGCTTAGGATTCTTTGCGATACCCATAGTTCTCCCCCTAGGGCAAGTGAATCAAGCCAACACATTGTATTCACCAACATAGCTGAGACCCCAGAAGTGCAGAGACACCCAGGCACATATTGCCAGATCACTTAACAAACTTGGTATGCTTAAATCAGGTGGTCAGAACATTTTTTTTTTCATTCTCTGCAGTGCTGCTTGTGGTTTGAGTGGGTATTCTCTCCACATTCTATTTTAATGGTTGTGGATTTGAATTTGGGATGGAGAGGTCCTTATTTTGGATTAATTCATCCAGACTAGAAAATTTGACATTTATGCGGCATCCATTGTTTTCATCCTTACAGATATTTTTCTCCCTCTCCCAGAATACTAGAACGTGATGGCATCCAATGAAGCTGATGGGCAGTAGGTTCAGAATGGACGAAATAGTGCTTTACAGAGAGTGATTAAAATGTGGGATTTACTGCTAGAGGATATAGTGATGGCCCCAAGAATAAACAGCTTTAAAGGGGGATTAGATAGATTCATGGAGAATAGGTCTATCAATGACTGCTAGCCATGGTGACTGTGGGGAACCTCCTCATTTAGAAGCACTAGTCTTCTGAATCCGAGCCAGGAGGGGTAGGCCTCAGACTCTAATGTCCTGTTGTTGGCCATCCAGAGGAACTGGTTGGCCACTGTGTGAGACAGGATACTGGACAAGATAGACCATTGGTCTGATCCAGCACGGCTCTTCTTCTCCTTATGACAGGAGTCCCAAGCCATCTTCTTCCCACAAAGCAGTGGTTACTCCATTAATCTTTAATTCAATCATGATTTCTCATATTGACTTTTCCTGAGCATTGGCAGCCAAGGACCAGAAGCTGACAGCTATGCTTCATAAACAGGAGCAATTCCTCTCTGTAAAGTGCGCTTGCCACATGGTCATCACACACATGCAGTATTCACTTGAACCCCAGAGGAACAGGTTCTGCTGAACAAGAAGAGAAGATGCAGAATACTGACTGGTTGGTTCCTGTAACATCAAAATACCTTCTTCAGCTGTTTTTTTTTACCTTCAGACCGATTGGATATTTGAAAGAAAAAAATCCTCACCAGGCAATGTATGATTGTTCAAATGTGTAATTGTACAACTAGTGTATATATAATTGTACATGTATGTTTTTAACAAATAAACAATAAAAAAGGGAGCCAACCCACCAGAAATGCAGAGGAAGTACCAAACCAGTGAGGAAACAAAGGTTTGCTGTGGATGAAAGTAAATCTTGGAAGATGGGCAAAAACTTGACTCCTGGTTTGTACACATTTGAAATCACTTCAGAATATTAATGTAAGTTTCAGACACAGGGTGGGCTGGTCCACCGAACAAACTGGAGTGGACTGAAGACAGGAGCCCTGTAGCACAGCCTAGCCTACTACACAAAGAGAGATCTAAAAAGGGTGAGAATCCAACTGGCAGGTTTAGGAAGAGAGACTGGTGGAACTGAGACACACAGATGGGAATGGTAACAGCACAGCCGAGCGTGAGCAGCTGAAAACAAGGGATAGCCACATGGGAAAAGGAAACCTTGAAGTGGGAAAGCCAGAAACATCACAAGAGCATGGGAAGTGCAGGTCAAGGAAGGACTATTTTACAGTGTCTTCTATCATCCAAGTAGTTCTCCATCCTTCTATAGAATGTGTCTCCACCCCCATGCACCTGTATTTAAATGTGACGATTCCTCAGTCTCAGAGATACCCCCAAGAGTCTCCACTGCCCTCCCTCCTAAGAGAAAAGTCAGTGCAGGCCACAAAGTGGTTGAGCATCAAACACATTTATTTCACTTTTATTGAATACAAGAACAGTGAGCACACACGCATACACCACCAAGCACTGAAGGGAGGATGTGATTGGAGAGGGTGGGGGTGGGGACAAAAATAGGAATGGGTGGACAGTGGAATTAGTGAAGGAATGACAGAGCATTGCAGTTGGTTGGCAAGGTGCTTTTCAAATTAAAAAAGAATTGTTAACATTATTAATTCATTCATGCAATTGCAAGGCCAGTTTTGGAATTGGCTTGTGGGATTTGGTGCAAACTAAGCAGTTGCATTTTCCAACCACCCCCCATCCCTTCACTGGAAAGGCCCCAAGAAAAGAAAGATGAGTGACCAGCTAGATCAGATGGCAGAAGTCGTGATGATCAAGGTGACAGGAAGTAGTTTTTAAAAATTATGCATGGCTTCAATACTACCACAAATAATAAATATTTATATATATTTTTATATATATATATACGTATATATAGATAGATATCTATATATAAGCCACATCTTGCTAGGTGAACAAAAACTAGTTTTTGTTTAATGGCTACCCATCAGACAAGCTGGGGAAAGAATCCAAAGGAATTATTCTGTTTTAGCTTTTTCCATTGGTTGACAGGATTGGATTCTGAGCCTATTGGTTTTGAAGCAGTGCATCTCCACAGATGTTAGTGGCACTTACCCTGATGTACACCAGGGCAAACAGGATCATCTGTTCCACCTACCTATTCAACTTTTGAGCTGGTTTGTTTTTTTTGTTTCAAAATCAAAACGGAAGGTTGGGAGATGCCCCCTGCCCCCTTGTAAAGTGGGTGGACCGTCACATAATGATGCTCCCAAGAGTCCCTGGGTTTTGGTTTCTTTTTTAATTGAAAGCACAAGTGTTTCTAGGAATGATTTTGAGTTCTATTTATTTCATGTGCATGCATCTTATTTCTCTCCCTTTCGGTTCTGGAGTACTTCATAGGTTCCCTAAAAAGCAATAGGAAGTGAAAAAGTTAACAAGAACCCTCAGACAGAATTCAGAGAGAGAGAAGGATCCAGTAGAACAACTGGAAATGACTCCCAAGCATTTTAGCATAAAGCCTGTGTTGATGCTTTCAGTGCTTACGGGGCCATGCCTGCATGACAGAAGTAGATTAAGTTTTAGGGGAGCCATAGTAGCAACTGGAAAGGCCAATGTCAAAAAAGCTTACCGTACGGGATATCATCCATCTTATCCCAATGACTTGCATTCAAATTAGGCCGTCTCTCTAAGTTATCTAGATCCCAGTCATAGATACCAGTTAGATGTGCTCCTCCAAGTACCAACAGTGTGTTGAAAAGGGGAGATAAAAGACGAGCATGGTGAAGTGTTTGTGGGCCCTTCTCTAACACCTGGATTGGAAACTGATTAATTTGGTTTGTCATTGTTACATTCGGTATTGGCTCTAACTTTCCTTCTCATGCAATGGATGTAGACAATTTCACAGACGGCCCTTAAGGAAAGTGTCCAATGCCAGGTACCATCAGTAGTGTATCACAATAGATCTGATTACTTCCTTACCCCTGAGCACTGGCTGGTCTGTCCTCCCAAACTTTGGAGCTTGCTGTGATCTAGACAGAGATGCACTTTTGAAAGACATAAATAAACCCTTGTTCTAGTCTATGCAAGCTATGTTAATTGTATTGAGAAGGAAACAACGCTGTTTTGTACAATTTACCCTCTGACTTTCATGTTATCCAGGCAAAATACAGTCAGGTAGAACCTGGGACTGAGCTAGCATGCCTCCTTGTTCACCTTCAACATTTCTTTTGGAGAGTTGTAAAACTAGTTGGAACTTCATTTCAGCAGCAGAGCTAAAGACAGTGGCTAGTCAGCTTGAGAAGGATTATGAAATCATAGGGTCTTATTTTTAAAAATAGTTTAAAGAACTGGCACATGGAGTACAATAGCTCCACAACAACTAAACGCTTAGGTCTGAGAGATCAAAATCTTCAAGATCCTGAAAGGTTGTGAAGGAAGCAACCTAAACCGAACGTCCTATCCTTAACATGGCCTCGTTTTCTTGGGGCTTGAGAATGAGGGAGGCATTGTTAATTGGCACAATTTACTGACTTTGACTGGATTGTGGTAACACCAGTTCATTCCATCTTTCTTATCTACCTTCTCATGTTGCTGAATGCTGCCTTTACCACCAACCAACCAATTACAAACACTACTGTGTCACTATGCCAGTCTCTTTTGCAAGAGCACAGGTTAGGTGTGTGACAGACAAATACCGCCCCCAAGAGAATTAGTGAATTTTTTGTACTCTGTTTTCATGGGATATCAGCATGATCTAAGAGTCTCATAATACATCAACCACGGTCAATCAAATAATTATAATGTAAAAATGTCATTGTCATACTTATCAGCACTTTAATTTGTTTCAATATCATTCCCCACCCTCCCCAGTTATATATAATATACATAACTTAAAAGCACATCCATGTGAAACCTCTACAGGCTGCGCCTTGTTCAAAAGGTAATCATGTACATATCATTTTGCTTTGCTTTCAGTGAAACCCAGTCAATTATTTTCATCAGAACAAATGACTGGATGTAGAGAGGAAGGATTTAAAAAAAAATAAAAAAAGACAAGTTGGGATAATAAACAAAACAGAAGTGGCATGGAGTGGGGAGAAAGAATGATCACCACACATCCCAGTATGGAAAATAACAAAACAAGCATCATACAAGTGAATGGTTTTTTTATTCTTTCCTATGCAGGGAATCATTTTGTGGTTTTGCTTGTTGATTTCTTGCTTTGTTGCAAAGCATTTTTGCTTTTCCATTCAGTGTGCAACAAATGAGCTATGTATCCTTTAAATGTAACATGCAGAACGGTGGTTTATTGTATTGTTAATAATATTATTACCATCATGTTGCTTTTTTTTTCTTTTAAGATCAGTCCAGTCAATTCTTCAATTTCTTTGAAGAGGTGGTCGGTTTTGTTTTGTTGCTGATGTTGGCTGTTTGTAATTCATCTCCGGCATATAGCAGCAGTGCAAGGATGCATTTTTGTTTCCTGTATATATAATATATAATATATTTGCTATTCCTTTTTTATTTAATTTTTTTGTCTCTCAACATTATTCTTGCAGCCAGGACGTTCTGTGTCTCATTGAGGAATCCAGCATAAAAGGCCCCTTCTTCAAATTAAAATAGAGATGCCAACTTCTAGAAACACAAAGGTCAAGATTCCTGTACAAGGGAATAAATGTTGGTTAAGAAAAGAGAAAAAAAATCAGGCAACATAGTGCACATTGGTATTAAGGCAGTATGCAGGATTTTCTCCAGTGGTCCATTGTATGGAGCAGCTTTACAGAGCTCTCTTGTGCAGAGTTACTGCAGTCTAAGCCCACTGATTTTTAGTGAGTTTAGATTCGAGTAATTCTGCATAGGACTGTACTGTTAGCTGCAGAAGTGCTGATTAGGACCAGTGCAGCTGGAGTAGTATGCTAGAGAAACATACAAAGCTGTCTTGGATTCAGAGAGACCACTAGCCTACCTAGTCCTGTATACACTTCAACTAGAAGCATCTCTCCAGGATCTCAGGCAAAGGCTCCTTTCACACTGCTGCTCCCTAAGATCATCTAACCTGGAGATGTGGGACTGTCTAAAGATCGGTGATTTTTGGGAGAAGATCCGAAAACAGATCATGGGCATAACCTCAATTAATTTAAATTTTAAACCAGAAATCTTTTTATTGAACCAATGGGACAGTGATTTGGATAACAGGAATAAGGAAATAATTTCCTTACTTCTTGCAACAGTACGTCTAACAATAGCTTCATGCTGGAAGTCCTCAGCGCCACCGACGTTATCAGCATGGTATGAGAAAGTGTGGGATCGATTTGTGATGGCGAAAATATCGGATAAAGTACAAAGAGCTTTAACACCACAGTCTTTAAATTCCAGATTTGAATCAACCTGGTTCTCTATATTTTCTTACCTTACTGCACATGATTTGCTTCCTGCCAACTTACACTATCATAATTGGTTACTGATGTGAAACGATACTTTAAAAGCCTATTGGGATAGGATGATGTCTGCAACCCTCACTACTTCAGAGCGGAAAACTAATAATCTTGAATATTACAGAGGATCTCTCTTTGGTAAAGTTATTGTATCTATGGTTTAGGTTTTTATGTGATATTGAATTGTACATTTTTGTCTATGCATCTCTTTTGATGTCAATAGTATGGCATGAATTGTTTTTGAGAATATTAATGAATAAAAGGTTTTTTTTTTAAAAAAAAGAATACAAAGTGGGATTTTCTGCATGCAGTGCATGTGCTCTGTCACTATGAGATGCTCTCCCTCCTTTAAAGTGTCCCAAGTGATGCATCGCCATTTAGTCTAGGATAGTGCTTTCAAGCTTCTTACTTTCTGGAAACCCCTTTCCACATTCATTCACTAGACAGGGAACCCTGCACATCAGCTATGGAATTTCTGCACATTCATTCTAGGGTAAACTCTCAGCACGAGGCATCCACTAGGGCAGTTTGTCTTATATGGTACACAAAGGGAGTCCATCCCAGAGACAAGAGCCCAAAATTCCCCTACCGCTGAGGTTTGCAGGACAAGTTTAATCATTACAGCTTGACTTACACTACTAGTAAACAGAACAGTTTTACTATTTTTTCCCCAGGTATTGAGCTTTTGTTGCTAATTTGATTCCTATGGGTCTGAGACTGAACGTTGTTGATTGGACTGCTATGGGTCTGAGATTAAATGCTGTTGGTTCTGTTGCTCATTAGATTTTTGATTAACGTTCACTACTTTCCTGTCTGCTCCTATTGATCTTTGTACGTTTTACTGTTTCAATTAATATTAGGACATAAGAAGAACCCTGCTGGATCAGACCAGTGGTCCATCTAGTCCAGCACCCTGTCTTACACAGTGGTGAACCAGTTCCTCTGGAGGTCCAACAACAAAGCATAGAAGTCAAGGCCTTCCCCTGATGTTGCCTCTTGGCACTGGGATTCAGAGGTTTACTGCCTCTGAATGTAGAGGTTCCCTTTAGTCACCATTAACCACTGCTAGACCTATCCTCCATGAATCTGTCTAATCCTCTTTTAAAGATGTCTAAGCCTGCAGCCTTCACTACATCCTCTGGCAGCGAATTCCACATTTTAATCACTCGCTATGTAATGAAGTATTTCCTTTTGTCCTTCCTGTTTCCTGGGAAGCTACCAGGACAGCAAAAATGCTGAGCACATGAGATATAAATATATCAAATCAATAAATGGTACCAATCTTTCCAGTAAAAAAATCTCTGATAAGCATCTGAGAAACCCCAGGGTTCTTGCAAAAACAAACTCAAAAGGACTAGATTTGTGTCTTACTGCAACAACAGGTCATATCTATACACACCTGAGGCTTCTTGTCCTTTTCTTCTGGAGATGGTTCTGTTTCTCGATATACTACAGCTTTGGTTACCAGCATGTCGGGATGCTGCAGCTTTGCCTCCTTGATTGCCAAAGCCAAAGCCTATGAAAAGAAAACAGTGAGTGTTTCATATTAGTTCACTCAAAGTGTTCTAAGTAGACAACTGAAGAACATGCAGAAACAGTATGCAGTGCCTGGGAAGGGTGGAGTTTGTGGAGGAAAGAGAACTCTCAGTGGAGGAAAGGGAACTCAGGAATGTTCCTGGAAACACAGAGAACTTTATTGAGTGCACATTCTTGTCAATGATTGTCTCTTCAAGACTAATGGGTTGGGTTCTGCAGATCCATTCTATTAGGAAGAAAGCACCCCTGTTGGCAGAATGGATTCACTAACAGCCAACTTCTCTGGAAACACATAGCGGACTCCAACCATTTTTTATGTATGTTAAGTTCAGGGGTCATTTCCTGCAGGAGTGCACAGGAGCGGAGCTCCGGCAGTAAAGAGCTCAGGGGTCGGGCACATGCAACAAGCCCCACCTCCTGCTCCCAGCAGCCCTCAGTCAGAGCAAGAAGCAGCCAGGTAAGTTGCAGAGCTCCTCCTGGCCCCCCCGGTCCAAAACAGTCCAGTGGTACCTTTAAGACCAAGTTTTATTCAGGTACAAGCTCTCCCTCCTCTGCGAGGACAGATCTGTACATCCCCCCCCCCAATAGCTAGCAATCCAAAACAGTCCAGGGGAGCCTGAGCGGTGTGTGTTGCCTTCTGACACACTTCCGGTGATGGCAGGGGGTGTGGCATATGCAAATAAGTTATGCTAATGATTTATGCTAATGAGCTCCTGCACCTGTTTTTCTACGAAATGACCCCTGGTTAAGTTCTTATGCAAACTTATTTGCAGCAATTTCATTGAGCTGATATCTTTGCATACCATGCATAGGAGCTAAATATATTCTTTATAACAGTCTTTAACCCCCTCCCTTAGCTCCTTGCAAGCCCAGATTTTTTGCATATAAATGTACAATGATTGCTGGAAATGTACATCTTGTCATATGAAGTGCTGCAGGGCTTTGAAAAACTCCACCCATGGAAAAATTTGCAATGATTCATGGCAAAGAAGCCCTAGTGATGAAAAGCTGGCCATTCCTAATCTAATATGAAGCTTTCAAAGGAAATCATCTGGGCCCAATAGTGGCAGTGCATTGTCAGCACAATATCTTGGCTTTCGGGAATGACTTTGTAAAAATACTGTTGTTCCCTGCCAAGGGAACCCATGTTGGATTGATTGGCTAGACAGAAGAGATAAAATAAATAGAGGAAAAAAGTGGCAAGTCTGGCCTTGAGTAAACCATTATCCAAATCCAGTCCAGCAATCAACATGCAAAAGAAGACTCCCAAGCATGTACCTCTTTGCTAGTTCAGGAAACACAAAAGCAAATGTCTGGACCCTGCACCTGGGCCTGTGTGCATGTTCCTCTCTTGGCTCTGCATGTACAGCCCTGAACCTAAGGTCACTGTTACCACTTTCAACATAACTGGCAGTCTTCCTGGAAGATGGATAGTGGAAGAACTGAATCTGGGACCTTTGCTTCACCCAGGCAACAGATGAATGACACTGTCAAATCTCATCAGCACAGAGGCACATAAAAATCATTTTTTTGGCAGGATCACAGTTTAAAATGAAGATTGATCAATGAAACATCGTTTTATGACCTTCTTAGGAACTAATAGAAGAATGCTTTTCTCTGTAGAGAATTAACTCTGGGGAAACATCACTCTGAGTCATCAGAAGCACAAAGTTCTATGTATTTATATTACTGCTTGACACTGGGGACCAGGGACTCACTAGTCATTGCAACTTTGCCCACTGATACTTCTAAGAGATCTTTTACCCCTATTTTATGCCTGATCTCTTACTGTAAATGTCAAAGAACATTTACTTCTCATGTCATGGGAAACACCAATCTGCCCAGCAACTACTACCAGACGTTGCTTCTGGTTGAGTTTTTTTTACTTTTTTAGGAGGTGCAGGTTGAGCAGAGCAGGAGGGAAAGAGGCAGGCAGCAGAAAGAAAGAAACCCATCCTAGTGCTGAGCAACTGTCTACAAAAACCTAAGAGATTCCATATGGTATCATGAACATAATTATCTGCAACTTATACCCATCCTGAAGCTGCATGAAAGCACTCAGTTCATTCAGTTTTAAATCAGTTTCCATAGTTATAGCAACTAATCAGTATGCACTTTTGTTTAGACAATAACTAAATAGTAAGTTTTCTTAGCAATGTAAATAATTACTGCCTTGATTTCAATCAATCCACCCTGGTTCTACATATACACATGAATACATCTGGATCAGGACATGTCCTTGCTTCCTTATGATACATAACTTATATACAACTTTCAGAGAGCTTCACATACAATAAATTATTGTAATCCTTACAACAACCTTGTAATACAAGTCAATATTATCACCATATTGAAAGGGGGGATGGGCTGAAGTGAAGAATGGTTTGACAAAAGCCACCTACAATGCAATCCTAAGCAGTTACACCTTTCTATGCCCACTGACTTCAGCAGACTTAGAACAGAGACTCTGTTTAGGATTGCACTTCTAGAGATTTCATGACAGAAGTGACATTTGAACCAGGGACTTCCCTGATTCACTGATTATTTTCTAAGCCTAATGTCCAAATGCCACAGGGGAGATCAGCTCTAGAGATTGCACTCTACAAACACACAGAACCCTTAACCTCTATACCATCCCTCTTCATATTCGGAAGTAGAACCAAATATATAGGGAAGGATGGATTTGGGGATTCTAGCCAACTTAGGTTTCCCATAAAATTGGGAATGGAAGGCTTGGTTGAAAACTTTTTAACAGTGCTGATAATTAATTGTTGTAGATTTTCCGGGCTGTATGGCCGTGGTCTTGGCAAGACCATGGCCATACAGCCTGGAAAATCTACAACAACTAATGAACTCCAGCTGTGAAAGCCTTTGACAGCATAGTGCTGACAATCTCCCACAGACTTCCTTCATACCTGATCCTGGTCCACATCTTCATCTCCTGTTATGATGATTCGCTTTTCTATTCTCGTTTCAGAAAATCCTCCTTTCACAGTCTGGAATAAGGAAAGATATGTCATATAGCATTTTTCAGTATATAAAATAGTAGCTCTTAGTTTGCCCAGCACTATCAATTGCATGGGGAAGTCTGTTACTATGTTTTCTACTTTCCCAGTGATGGATGTGGGATAATTATTAACAATTTGTTCAAGGCTGCCCATTGTAATTACATATCAAACACAATGCCCTCCTTAGGACAGCTGTCCATTGCCTCTTATTTCCCTTTATCCACAATACATTAAAGTGACTGCATTGTGATATTCATTAAGACACTCTCTATAATATTTGAAGGTGCTTTGCGAGTGAGCCCTCCTGACATGCTCTTACCTTGGTAACATGGGTAGTTGTGGAGGTTGAGAGAGTTTCCGCTGTGGCCCCAAAAAGGCTGGTGAAGGCTTCTTTCCCAACAGCACTGCTGGTGATCTATAAGCACAGGAGAAACACTGTCCATGTCAAAAGATGGGCCTAACAGATTCTATTTTCTTTTACAATATGGAGCTTTGGTAAGGCCTTATCATATGAAAGTTCTGAGGACGTATTCAATCCATTGTCTTTATGACATGCTACTTTTGCCTGTTCCTCATCTGGGAAGGTATGTAGCTCAGTGACAGAGCACACACTGGAAGGTACCAGGTTCAACCTTTGACATCTTTGAAAAGCCCTGAATAGGGCTTGATGAAGAGTTGGATTTATACCCCAACCTTCACTCAGTGTCTCAGAGTGGCTTACAATCACCTTCCCTTTCTCTCCCCATAACAGATACCCTGTAAGATAGGTGGGGCTGAGACAGCTCTGAGAGAACTGCTCTTGAGAGAACAGCTCTGAGAGAACTCTGACTGACCCAAGGCCTCTTGTGGCTTCTTGTGGAGGAGTGGGGAATCAAACCCAGTTCTCCAGATTAGAGTCTGCTGCTCTTAACCACTACACCAAACTGGCTCTCATGAAAAGTTTTTGCAGCCACTCCCCCCCCCCCCAGTTTGTAGAACCATGTTACTTATCCATCCCTGGCTCCATTGTTAGGTTTTTTAAAATCCAAACGATGGGGCCCTGTTCAGAATTCAATATATAGATAGCCTTAAAGTTCCCCAAACTGTAAAGTAGTCATGGGAGTGCATTTGCCAGGGTCAGTAAATTGCAAGATTGCACAAGTGGACTCCCACTGCATGTAGAACTTTTCCACTCTTCCAATATCTGTAGTCCCTGCTAAAAGGTATTTTTAAGAAATCCTTAACTTCACTGGACTGCTCATCAGAAGTTAATGGAATGGAGTTTAATCCAATGACCAGTCCAGTGGGTGAAGGTCCCTAATCTCCCTTCTTACATTGTTTTCTGAGAAATGACAGTAAGCACAGAGAAAGCCATGCTGGTGATTTCTCTTTCCAACTGAACGAGGCGTTCACTCATAATTATGACCAGAAGATCAGAGGATTTGTCAGTCTGTGGTCAAATCAATATAATTGTATCACCTTTTGAGTAGCTGTTAAGTATGAGTCAGATGATTATAAAGGACAGAGAAGCAGTGGTTTGCTTTCTCATTGTCTGCGCATTCTTGTGCTTGAGGTTGATTATTTCAAATTACAAGAATGGTGGATTTAATCATCTTCCAATGGACGTGTTTTGTATGTGCTTATTTTGTGCAGCACCAAGATCTCAAACATTGTGTCAGTGGGCTTACATTGGCCTCAGGCACAAAGGAGAAAGTCTGCTTGTCTTGCTGCATCCACTTTCCAAAACCCCACTGAACCTTGTTTTCCCATTAATCATGCTGGAAAGGAGACAGGAGGGTGCCTTGGGAAGTGGATGGGGCCATGGGAGGGAAATGATGGCTGGAGCCGTGCATTATCTTTCTACTGCCCTCCAAGGTATCTCTTTCTCAAAGCTTCAGGAATATAAAATACACTCACTGGAGAGATGGAGCGAAGTTCTGTTGTTCCCTTCCCAGGCTTGGGAGTGCTGTGCTCCTGCAAAACACAATGTTGACATTGATGTCAGAGTGCAGAGAGATACCTAATTAGGTACAGTACCAAGTAACACAAGGGGGCTTCTGCTGGGATATTGAGTGGACCTATCTTAGTGGAAACCTTCAAAAATCCCTTCTTCTCTTTCTGCAAAACTATCTATGCTAGCCTGCAGGTTTCACTTCTCCCCCTTCTCCTCAGGATCAAACAGATGGGAAGGATTTTCAACCCATGGGATCAAAAGGTTTCGCTTGGATCCATTGGAGTGTTTCTTTGGATGGAAGAATTTCCACACATGGAGTGCAATTTACTGCTGCAGCTGAAAATGCCATGCAACACTGTTTCCGGTGACCCCTTGTACCCAGGAATAGCATTCCAGAGGGCATTTGGAGCTGCAGTGGGAGGAAGAGGGAAGAAAGTCAAACTCGGTTGGTGAAAATCCTTCCACCTCTGGCAACACTCCTGTCTACATCATAGCTGAAATGCTGCTTGAAAGTTTGTGATGCCTCCTCCCAGGGTTTTCAGCTGTTCATATGTGATTTTCTATTAATATTCTAAATTAGAAGCAAGCTAGCACTGTGCCTACATAACAATTTAAGTACACCCTCCCACCACCACCCAGAACTCATCTCTCTAGCCTTTGCTTATGTAGATTTCAGGTAAAATAATTAGTAAAATATATGCAATTTAAGTGTTATATCTCCTTTTTCAAAATAAATACCTAAAGTGCCACATGAGTCCTCCCCCTTCTGATGAGCCCTACTAAAGCTGTACAGGCACTGCTATCATCTGTTCCCATTCCTAGATGCTTCTGATACAGATGCCACAAGTCCTCAGAAGGCTTCGTGTACTACAGCAGGACTCAGTATCAGTTAAAGATTTAAGGAGTGCCCAGTTCTTCCCTGTAATATATGAGATGGCTACACACATCTTTTTCACCATGTGCACCTGGTGAAGTGTTAGGGCCTGTCATAGGTCTAAACAGCATGTTTTGGTAATGTTATAAACAGAGAGGAAGAAAACCACCAAGTGGCCTTCCATGTCACAAGGAAGAAGAAAAACAGGGAGTACCATACCAACCCACCCACCCAGCAGAGGCACACCTGGTTTCAACACTTCTTGCAGACTTGGCTGTTCCAGCAAATGTTTGAACTGACCAAGAACTGGTTTTGTGACTAGGTGTTTTCTGATGTTGGTCATGTCTGACTTGTCTACTTTAAAGGATGTTTTTTGCACACTGACTGCTTTTTATTGTTAGTTGCCTATGGGGGCTTCAGCCTGAAAGACGGATCACCCTTTATACTACCAATGGTTAAGTTTATTAACTGGATATGTACGACTCTGATCTGTAAATAAGCTGATGGACTGTGGATATGTATAGTCTTTTATCTAAAAACAATAAAAATTTAAACTGCAAAAAAACAAAACGGTACAGACTAAACCTTTAATGGGTGATTTCTGTAACACATAACTTTTGCTGGTGATCTCCTGCTAGCCTTGGACCTGTGAAAAACTCACAGTGTAGATAAAATCATAAAAGATTCAGAAAGAAAATAAAGTGGCTTGAGGGACAAATTAGATAAGGCCCAGTAAACCTGCAACTATGTTCCACTATAGTTTTTGAAATGGCTACAGCAGCCACGAAGAGGAAGAGAGAAAATGGGGTTCAAGGTCATTACACTGGGTGATGCACACATTCCTTCGCCTCCCAAGATGCCCTTTGCCCCACAAAGATAAGTGTACAGGTGCCTCCATGCCCTTGTGGGGCAAACGCCACCACCAGAGGAATGATAAAGATCAAGAAAATGGAACAGGGAAGGGATTAATTTCTCTCCACAGATTGCCGCCCTGACTTGTATCCCCATCACCCAGAGTTGCTGTTAGTATCCAACTCTTGTTCTTGTGTCTCCTGAGTCACATGTCATTCAATGCCTACAGAAATCAGGATGTTATGAAAACAACTAAAAAAAGAAAATAGTTTGATTACCCATGGGCACTTACAGAGGATGTAGATATGGTTTCTGTGCTGACAATGTGGGAAGTAGTTATTGTCTCTTTTCCGCCTGTGGTGGTTCCGTCAACCTGAAAATGAAAGCAGTAAAGAGGATGAAGCAGTGCAGCTACAGCTGATGCACAAGCAGCAGTCTTTGCAGGATCAGCATTTTTTAACTCTTTTATTTGCCAATAAAGGACTTGCTGCTGAATTCCCCACTCAATGACAGCAAAAGCATGGTCCTTGGTTAATACCGTCCCAAGCCAAGTATGCAGTCTATGATTTTTTTACAGAGTGGAATACTTGTACTTTTGAGGTCATGGACACACACACAGACAGAGTCAAAGCAGGTATATTTTATAGGCTTATAACTGCTCTGGGCTGGATGGCCCAGGCTAGCCTGATCTTGGAAGCTAAGCAAGGTCAGCCCTGGTTAATTGCTCGGATGGGAACTCTGGAGTCGCTACAGACAGGCAAGCAATGGCAAACCATATCGGTTCGTCTCTTGCCTTGAAAGCCCTATGAGTAGGTCACTGTAAGGTGGCTGTGACATGACTATGCTTTACACACACAGAGAGGCTTATACCTGAGCCCTGCATCGACAGGGCAGCAAACTGGAGGATATCCTCACAGGCTCCACATACCCCCATCCCTTCCATTTCAGCAAAAGCACAGCAGCCCTGGAAACCCAGTCACGGTCTTCCAAATGACATTACACAGCAAGTTCTTACTTCATGTGTTTTGGCCATGGCTCCAAATTTAAATGAAACTGAGAAACCAGAGTTACCTGCGTAGTTTCTATTGCAGTGATTCTGTCGTGCACAGAGGTCTCTCCTTTCACAGCTGATGACTACCAAACAAACAAACAAAAATTAGTGACCCTGTTTAACTGCACAAATCTGCTGGTTTGCAACCTGCAGCATGTCATGAGTGAAGTATTTTTAATTGCATAACCCTCATCCTGCTTGAGTTGGAACATTTTGTTCTAATATAAAGGGTATGTGTGGTTTGGGGTCTGTAGTGTGTGTGTGTGTGTGACTGAAAACACTGGCCATGTTGATGTAGTAATGGTATCCACTAACGATGACATTAAAATCAAGGCTGGCAAAGTAAGTTAAGCTCTCCAATAAATTAAAGGGGGTTGGGGAGAAGAATTTGAACTTCTAGATTTTAGTACAAACACAGAATTCTACTGACAAGACTACAAATGTCTTTGTGATGCTCGCTTTTGGAATCATATGAAAAGTGATTTCCCCGTGGCACTTTCTCACTCCCAGCCCGACTCTGAGCAACTTTTATTTTTCTTACTTTCTGTCCTCTGAGCAACCATAAAGGTATTTTTTTTTGGTCTGGCTCATCTGCCTTTCTAGAGGCTGCTCATCCCAGCCAGAGTAAATTCTATTAACAGAGATTAAGTTCCTTCAATACATGTGTTATTTGTTGAGTTCATGCAACACAAAGCACACACAAACCCACCCCATGAGATACTTGTGGTGGAACAGCCAGAGGCAAATACAGTGGGTTAAAATACGATGCTATCGTGAAGATTAGGAGATACATTAGAACAACCTATGGGACAGTCATGCATTTTGATGTCAAAAACAACCATGCAAACAAGACAACAACATTCATAATGGGTGGGTTAAAACATTTGAGAAATTCGCTTTGAGTTATTTGGAAGTTAAGCGTGCTCTTCCAAACACATGAGAAGGACAGTCGATCAAGCAACGCCAAATGCAAGACAGGCAACACTGCAAAATGAGGACACTAAGAACACATCTCTTGACTGCAGTTCCCTTTGTACCTCTTCCGGGATTACATAGGAAGCTTTATCACCATCCTTGGCATCATCTTCTTGCTTGGGAGCTGGTCTGTCAGATTCTTGAGAAGAAACCTGACTTTCTCCTTCTCCTTCACTCTTTTCCTTGTCAAGCTCGGGCAGACTCCGGGAGAAGTCTTCAAAGGCTGCGCTGTGGTAGTCACCAATGACTGTGAAGTCCACCTCGGCCTCGAGGCTGGAAGTTGAGCTGACAGTGATACTTGAGCACTTGCGCTCGATGGCCAAATGGTTGTCCTTTAGGAAGACTGAGTCTCTCTCTTGGTCTTGGTCCTCATCCCCTGTGTCACTTTCAGGAGCCCTGTGCCGTGGCGGCTTAGATTTTTCCTCTGTGCCCTCCCTCAATCCCGCTCTCTGAAGGAGACAAAAAGGAGGAAAGAAGCTAAGGCTGTAAAGTGCTGAATACAGGTCAGAGCCAGCTAGACCCAACAAAACAGAAGGCAAAGGACGCATCAGAGGAAGGTTTTCAAGCATACTCCAACCATGAAAACCAAAACCTTTCTCAAAGCATAAACTTTGCAGGGAGAAGGGGGGGAGAGCTTCCCGATTTTATTTACAGAACTATAAACAGAAAACAAAACCAGGATACTGAATATGTCACCACCACCCCATAATTTGGCTGGGTATATCTAAAGACAGGCTGGTATATGCGTCAAAAACAGGTGTGCGCAAAACAGCAAACACTTGTTAAGACATTAAAAAAGGTGTTTAGGATTGCACTTGACTGGGTAGCAGAAAGAAAAGTGCTACAAGGGAAAAAGAAGAAGAAAAAGAATAGAAAAATAAAATTTGAATGCTGAAGAAAGACAAAGGCCAATCCTAGTTTTATTTTAAGGAGAAGCAAGAAACATTGTCAATTTCACTGAAATCACAGCCTTGTTTTCTGCCCATGTTGTTAAAATTCTTTTTAAAACATGTGCACAGAACATTCCGGAGGAAATGTGGCACTTGTATGGAAGGGCTTGTGTTGTGAGCACTTACATCTCTGAGGGAATCAACACGCCACTTCTGGAGACCCCTAAAGTATTGATTCTACTGTGCTATGTTTTTCAATCAGTGTAATTGACAAGAAAAACCAGAGCCGGTCTTCCCTCTCCTAGTTTGCTTGGAAGGCCACACATACCTCTCAACTGCTTCAGAGGGCAAATTTCAACTCACACTGGCCCTGCAAATGGTTTCGCAGCACAACAGCTTGAATCATTAATTTCTCTACAGCTTTCCTGTCTTGGTGGAGTTGTGTTCCTCTGTCAAAAACTCCCGGTTACGTCTTAGCCCCAAAAGTTACTGAAGTCAGAGGAGAGATCCTCATGACGCCAGTGGGATTTGGGCCAACTTCTAGGGAAAATGTTTTAATTTACCCGCCTCCTTATGCCTTACTTTGTCTGTGCTTCTGGTTTGTTGAGAGGTATGAGAAAAGATAGTTAAGACAAACAGAGAAGGAGCATATATATAAAACATATATATAACAGCCCAGTGACTGTGGAAGGAGTCGGCAGCACACAACTCTCCACTGGTTAGGGTGAGCTTTGACACCACAAAAAAGAACAAGCAGTTAGTAAAAACAGCACTGAGACCTGGGAGGCCACTGGGACAGCAGCAGCCTTTAAACTCTCTTCTTTCAGGGTAGCATTTACTGATGGGCCTGATAAATCCTTTTCTTCCCAAGCTGGTTCTTGAAATTTGCTCTAGATTAGAGAAAAGGGGTTAGTCTTAAGGAGCAGAAAGGGAACTCGGCAAGTGCCTCGGTTGGAGCAGTGGGAAGCTATTTTGTCAGCCAGCCACCAGCTAGCCAAAGGCAGGGGGAAGAGAGGGAGGGCTTACAAACTAAGCAAGAAGGGGATTACCAAATTAAGAGATGCAAGAAGGAAGAAGCTGGAAGCGTGAGAATGTTGCTGCTAGGTGCGTTTCTGGAGGTAGGCGGGAGATATAAAGCTCTCAAGTGTGTCATCCCTTCCACCCCATTTTGCAATTCTATCCACAATACTCTTTTGCCTGGTTTCACGTTAGCAGCCGGCATTCTCCATGTAGCCAGATCTTCAGGAAATTCACACACACACACAAATAACAATCCAAAAGCTGATGAGCTTGCCTGGGCCAGCAGGTTTGCATTCAGCAAATGAGCCAGGCCACACGCACATACAGAAAAAAGGACAGGGGATGCAAGCAGCGGCTCTTGGTCAATGGCCATGTTGGAAGCCATGGCGCATGATGCATAAAAAAAGAAGAGTCACACAACATGCTTTATGAACTTTCCAGTGGGACAGTTCATCTGGGGAGTTACCACAGCTTCTGCCAAAGTGATTTCACAGCCAGAATCAGGAGAAGCCAGTTCAGCATCTCCTTCTTGTTCAGATTCAATAGAAATATCTTCCTTCCAAGACGAAGGCTGAGAAGGTTCTCCTTCGCTTGTTCCTTGTGTGACAGTTAAGTAGATCACGTCAGATGCTTCTTCAGGATCCTTCACTTTATTATCAAAAGTGTTCAACACTGCTTTATCTTGGGCACCACTCTTGTCTGAAAATATACCTGTCTGTAGCTCTATCTGCATCTTTGATGGCTCCGTCAGTGCCTTACTGCCAGGACAACTCTCATGGATTCCCTTTTGGATTGTGTGTTGCACATCAGAAAGAGGGTTACACATTTCTCCTTGCTCAAACATCTTAATTTTAGAAGCCACAGAAACGTCTTCTAATGAGCCCCCATGACTTTCCTTAGGCAAGGTTGTATCCTTAGATTTTTGAGGTGGGGTAATATCTGCGTCACATATAGTGAACTTCAGAGGCGCCAGATGTGGTTTCTGTTTCTGAATGCCAATTTGTCGATCTCCCCTACCTTTATCAGGCTGTGAATATTCATTGTGCCTTTCTGGGGATACTGCATGAGAGATGGCACTTGATGCCTCACTTCCTTCTTTAAAAGGTTTGTCCATGGGTATTTCTCCCAGTTCCAGAGGTGTAGGATCAAGAGAGCCAGACTGGGACCAAAGTTGATCCTTGGATGGCTGCTTTAAGTTAGATGATGTGTCCTGCTCCAGTCCTTCTGAGTCTATAGCTGGACCCTCTGAATTTAGGAGATCATCTCTGGGCACTCCATGGTGTTGTTCTTTATCTGTACTTTTAAATTCTAGAGTATTGTTCTCTGTGGCCTCTTCTACTTTATCCAGCTCCTGGAGTTTATCTTTACCTGGTCCATCTAAATCATGAGGTTCATCTCTGCCTGAGTCTTCAGTCTTTGAGGATTCATCCTTCTCTGTTTTTTTCAGTTCGGAGAAATTATCCAAAGTTGATTGTTTATCATCTTTAGTTGACTCTTCTTCCAGTACAGAAGGTCTATCTTTTGACACCTGTTCTACTTCAGGACGGTTGGCATTGGCTGCATCTTCCAGTTCTTGGAGTCTAGCTTTAGCTAGGTCTTCCAGTTCAGAGGTGTCATCTTTAGCAGACTGCTGCAGCTCAGGATCTTTATCCTTCACTGATCCTTCTGATCCCACTGTTTTATTTTGAGCTGGCTCATGCATTGCAGAGAGTCTGTCATGTGGGGGCTGGAATGAAACTAGGGTTTCATCCTTGTCTACCCATTCTGCCTTTTGCTGGGGCTTACTTTGATCCTCCTCTGAAGTTTCTGCAGTGCTGGAAAGCTGCTCTGATGAGGAACCAAAGGTGGATTTAGTAATCTCTGTGGCTTCCATTTGAAGACTTATCTGTGAAGTTTCCATTTCTTTTAACTTGTTTTTTCCTACCTCAGTTTCTGAAATTCTGCACAGCGTGTCCACTTTGTCTGTGGTAGTGTCAACCTCCTTCTTGTCTGATTGTTTTCCAGATTCTTTTTCAATACTCTGCGTTTCATCAGCATTTTCTACTTCCTCACAAAAGAGCTGAGCTGCTTCTTCAGTCATCAAGAATCTAGGTTTTAGTTCTGCCACAGTGGATTCCTCTGTGGTTGAGAACACACTGGATTCCCTATAATCTTTTGTACCATAATCAGTCAGCTCAAGAGAATCCCTTTCTTTTGTAACTGATGAATGCTCTTCTTTCTCACTGGTACACTGCTCTGTAGGAGGTACCTTTTTCTTGTCTTCTGCGTCTGTCTTCAGCTCATCAGATTCTGTAATTAATTTACTAATCTCTGATATTCTTTCGCCATTTGTGGGTGAGATGGATTGGGGCATCTTATTTCTTCCTGCCTCTCCTGCATCTACAGCCGATGCAAACCTCGTGTTTTCCCCATTTTCATTAGATAGCTCTGCTTGGGATTCCTGCCTCGCTTCAGCTGAGGAAAGCTCCTCTTTGTCAGATACATTTTTGGTCTTATCTTCTTTTTCGTCTGTTTCTGCAGAGCCCAAATAGATGATCCTTTCTGTGGCAGAAGACACTATCTTGTCACTCAATTTCACTTTCGTTTTAACAGCCTCAGAATCTGAGCTAGTTTTTAACACTTCCTTGTCCAGATATGGCAAAACAGTTCTCTTATCTTGTAGGATTGTTTTAGTTTCTTCTTTAAATGACTCTGACCAAGAAGAGGTACACCTTTGTCTCTCTTCAGCTTCAACACCTTCAGGTTCAGTCCTCTTCTCTGTGGGTCCTTTGAAGAGGTCACTTGGTTGCTGAGGTTCAGTGTGGGCTACTGCTATTACCTCCACTTTGTCTTTGTGCTCTTCTTTTTCTTCGGCTGTCTGGCTGTCAGTCTCAGAAGAGAGTTCTCTATTTTCTTTCTCATAGACATCATCATCCCATAATGATTCAAAATCCTCTGGACTGGCTATCATTTTGGCTCTTTTGTACATCTGACTTTTCCTTTCTTCACTAGCTTTCTCTTCTTGCTTTTCCACTGACTCAAGTTCCCCTATTGCAGTGGTTACTTTGGATAAGTCCAAACTTCCTTGCTTCTCTGAACGGCCTGCATGTGTGTCATCCTTCTGGATCTCAACAATTTTTTTTAGTGCTAGCTCTTCCAGCCCAGAAGTTTCTCTTTCTATAAATACCCAATGCTCTGAACCCTGCATTACAATTGGAGCAAGAAGAGTTATCATCAAACACAGGTTACCTGAATAGCTGATCATTAATATGCAACAAATGACTTGCCCATGCCCTTGCATTAACTAAACTATATCACTAGGATATCACAACAAGTCAATGCCAGTAAGATGTTGACACTGACTGAATGGATGCTGAAATGGTGTTGAAAATGATATATATATATTTAATTTATTTATTGTTACACTTATATCCCGCCCTCCCCGCGAACAGGCTCAGGGCGGCTTACAAATAAGGGCAACATGTGCCACATTCAGCATGAAAAGTGCTCAATGCCAAATATTTCCCACACAACATTAGCTACATCATCATCATCATTTG